CACGTTCTGTTAGGATCGTGGTGTTTTGTCTGTTCCCTCCATGTCTCCCCTGACTAACAAAGCACAGGCAGAGAGCAGGCACCCACGAAGCTATTTGACTCTATTAATTCCATGTATCCATTAAAATGTATTTAAGAATGTAATCCATGTGGAATGCTTTTGGCAGTAAGGTATAAAGCAGTGTTCTTTAATCCCTCTTCACATGAATGAACTCAATTTCCCAACTGATTTTTCTCAAATAATTTTTTTCTCCAATGGTCTGAAATACCTTCTTTACTACACTAAAATGTCCTGTATGCTGAGATGTGTGACTTAATACTGTTTCACTGTTTGTCTATTATTCCCCAAGAATCTTAGTTGCCAAATTTATATATTTTGATATCTAACAAGGCTGTTCTAGCTCATCAATCTGTCTTTTAAAAAAATTATTAGCTCTTCATACCTCCTTAGATAAACTTCAGAGTTAACCTGTAAAATCCCAAATGCACAGCCTATACTACTCCTTTGGGAGTTAGAAACTACATTAAATTTATATAAGCTAAGTGGACATTTTTACTCATTCCAGTGTAAAATGTCTATCATGTTATTCAGGCCTTTTATTCCATCAGAAAAAAAAAACTTTTTTTATCAGTGGTACATTCCTTGTTTAGCTTATTTTAATATAAATATAATACATGTATGGATTTATATAATATACATAACATATGTACACATACATGCACACACATATATTTTGTTTTCTTGTGTTATTGGCAAGGATTGGCTCAAGTGTGATGACAAACGAACCTAGTTTTCTTTACGATTTTACTCTCTAAAACAAGGTGTTTTTAGTATTTGACACATAGTTTTTACTGTGACAAGGAAATTTCATTCCAGTTCTAATGTCTGTCGTTACTAAGAATGGCTGTTAAATTTTATTAAATATCTTTTCAGTAAAAACTGAGATGCTCATATAATTTTTTTCAGTCATTTCATACTTTAAATTTCTTTCCATGTTTGCTATTTTTACAGGAAGTAATTCAATTATATTTGCAGTTCTAATTGCATAAAGTTGTATCCAGCAATTTTGTAATTTTAAAATGATTTCTATTTATATGGGTACCCCTCTCTGTGTATCTACAGAAAACCACTGTCCCAGTTCAAGCAGTCAGGCAGAGACAGAGAGAGAGAAAGCCCACGCAAGAGAGTGAGACCGTGCCTGTGTGCACACACAATTCACTTTACTGAGTCCACTGATGCAAACGCTCAGCTCATCTGGAAATACCTCACAGACACACCCAGAAATAATGTTTAACCAGATAACCTGAGCATCCCTTAGCCCAGTCAAGTTGACACATAAATTAACCATCACACCTGGGTAATGTGACATTCAATAACCTAGTTCAATAATCTTTCAGATTCCATTAAACATGCAGGGCATCCTAAAATTGTAGATTAACATTTCCGAGAGGATTCCCTTCACTCACAGAACGAGTTTATTCAGTTGGAATGGTAGAAAAAAAGCATCAAATTGTGAGGTCATTTGGTAAATGATGAAGTGGTCTTTATTATAAAGGACAGCCTTTGAGTTCTACTCATATAGGTATATACACACACAGGGCATGGACCCATATAGGCAACTACTACCCACTGCTAATACACTGTCTGACAGTCAGTTCAATCTTCATTTATTTAACATGAGATCTGAGTTTACAGATTTCAAGTGTTTATGGCCAAATGGGATAACTGAGCAAGAGTTACATGATAGGATGCCTATTCATGTAACAAATGATGAGTATAACTCACTATGATATGTGTGTGTGTGTGTGTGTGTGTGTATGTATACATCTCCTGTCGCTCCCCACCTGTGCACTGGAAACTTGAATGAGGTAAGATTACAGTTCAGGGGATAACACAGTCACTTGTATTACGTTTAAGGTGGCAGTTACTGATAATGCAGACATGCTGATATCTACAACCCATCATTGACTCATAACATTAATGTAGTATGCCCAGCACTTTGGAAACGAAATGGAATAAAAATGACCACAGTGTGGTGCCTGTGGTAACAGTAGATTTTGCTTTGTGAAAGTTACGTTTCTGTTAAATGTATACATGTGGTGGGTCATTGCTATAAGCTAAAAATAAAATCCTGGCCGGGCCATGGTGGCTCACACCTGTAATCCCAGCACTTTGGGAGGCCAAGGTGGGCAGATCACCTGAGATTGGGAGTTCAAGACCTGCCTGGCCAACATGGGGAAAGCCTGTCTCTACTAAAAAATATAAAAATTAGCTGGGCATGGTGGCAGGTGCCTGTAATCCCAGCTACTCAAGAGGTTGAGACGGGAGAATCGCTTGAACTCAGGAGACGATGGTTGCAGTGAGAGAAGATCGCGCCACTGCACTCCAGCCTGGGCGGCTGAGCGAGACTCCGTCTCAGAAAAAAAAAAGTCCTAAGGCCCCAGCAACAGAACGAACCCCCTCCTGGCCAAGGAGGCCCTAGGAATACCTTAACAATGGAATTTCCAGCCACAATGGGAAGAAAGGTGAGATGCCCCCATTATGCCCACTCTTTGCCGGAGTTTAAGCTCAAGCGACCACTATTCCTGTTAAAAGAGGTGGTAAGGCTGACCACACCGTCTGAGGCAGTAAGAAACCAAATTACAAACAAGACCTAAGGCCATACCTGGCAAGAGACAGCCACGCCGCAGGCCATCAGTCTTGCTACACAGCATCCTCAACTTAGAATTCCCTTCTGCTGACTCCAGTACTTACAGCCCTACTCCTTCAACCAACTGCAAATAAAGAATCTCTGAATCCACCTAGAATCTGTAAGCCCCCACTTCAAGTTTCACGCCTTTCTGGCCAAACCAATGTGTAACTTCCATGTACTGATTGATGTCTTTGCCTGTAACTCCCCCCCGCTTAAAAAGTATAAAACCAAACCGTAATCCGAGCGCCCGGGGTGCACTTTCTCAGGACTCTTTGAGAGTGGGTTGGTTTCCTGGCCTGCAGTCACGCATATCAGCTCAGAATCAACTTCTTTAAAATACATTACAGAGTTTGGTTTTTCATAAAAATGTATAAAAATAAAAACCAACTTACACAGTTTGTTCTTAACACATACCTCCCTACCACCCCCGCAAAAAATAAAAACTCAGTTTTCCTTATCAGTTTCTTCCTAGATAATTGAGATCTTCTGAGATCATCTTAAAAGCCCCAAAGGAAAGACCGCATTTGTAATATACAAGCTAGAATATCAGTCATGCTTCTGTTCTTCTTGCTCTCTTAGATGGTATTGTTTAAACACACAATAGAGGTTTAGAGAAGACCAAAGAAATTGGAAGAAAACTTCAACTAGGCTTTGAAAAACTGGCACATTTTAAGCAAGGCAGAGGGAACCAGCAGGAACAGGCAGGACATGCCGGCAGGGGAGGGGTGGTGTGGGCATGAGTGTGCTCAGAAGAGCAGACGTGGGGATCACAGCGGGGTGTGCAGAGCGATGAGGACTCAGGATGAGGGGGCAGCAGACAGGATGAACCAGGGATTAAAAAAAAAAGGATTTGTGGGGAGGTAGGATGGCCACAGGGCCGCGGACCCAACGTCCGGTGGGACAGAGCTATGGATTGGCTTTGTAAAGTTCCATCTCTCTGTGGGAGAGACTGAATTAGAAACTGAGGAACCTGTTTGATTAGGTCTCCCTGCCCTGATTGCTCTTGGTCACTTGCTTTTTATTTTTCGTTTCCTTTTTCCATGAAGCTGAAGGCTGCAGTATCTGAACACCTGAGCACTGAATGCTGAAACTTAACTTTCACTGGCTACTTTACAAGATAACACAAGGCACATTGTAATGGTTGCTTCACTTGTTTCCAGCAACCTGGGCCAGTTCTCGTCCAGTGCAATGGGCTGAGACCACCAACACTTTCAGTGGGCCTTTATCTTCAAGAGTTCTTATAAAATGATGTGTGCACGTGAAAAATATTTATATATACAAGGTAAAATGACTAACAAATCTATAATTAAAATTTCGTAAGAGGTGACAAAAAATCACTTCTAAGAGACAACCTACTATGACATATTAGAAATTACTAAAAGTAGCCCAGAGAACAAGACTGACTGTCAGCGAGTGAAGATAAAAAACTGGAAAGAATGTAAAGGAAGGATGAAGCAATCGTGCATGGCAGTCCTTTACCAAATTGAGAAGGAACACCCGAGATGAACGATCTCTGAAGATGAGAGACACTGCTCTCAGGAAGGAACAGACTGGCCAAACACACAGTAACCCATCTCCATATTCTAGGAAATGAGTTAATACTGATAATAAATACAGAATTTGCAGCACCCACTGTGTGCTGTGCCGTTATAAATGCTACAGCTCTTCTCAGGCTTTCATATGACAGCCTCGGGGCTGCTGCTGTTCGCCTGAAGCCACGGGCTGATGGGGCAGGACGGTCCTTTTCGTATGGGGACAAGGAATGGGAATTGTTAGATAAGTCCCCCAAAAGTAAAACTGAAACATAAATAGTGGTTAAGAGGAAGGGCAGACGTGGAAGTTAGCTCTGAGGCTCACTGTGATGACCCTACGAGGTACTCAATACAATGGTAGCATGTGGGGGGCTTTACTTTTACAGGTGGCTTCTGTCTTCATTACTATGAGATGTGCAGCAGATGTCTGCATTTACGTATAGCCCGGGAGATGGGAAAAATTAAGCTGGTTTCCAGTCTTGTGTCTGAAGAGGTAAGTTTATTTAAACAATTAGCACAAAATGGCCAAACAGAAGTTGCTCTGATTTAACCTAATTTTATGATTTAACTAGAAAAGAAAGTCTAAAAGTATTTTACCGTCTGGGTTGGAAAGTCAATTTAAGTTAAATAGGATTTTTAGCAGCATCTCAACCATTTATAAAAGGCCCTCAAAGTGAAGTAAGTCTCAAAGTTTTATCACCTCTGTTAGCCTTCCTGACCTCAAGTGAATCACCCACACAGAGACTGTATCTGGAGAATTCATGATCTCTACCTACCTTTTTTTCAAAGAATTTTTTTCTTAACTTGGCGTCTGTGGGAGGTACTGTTTCCCTCAGGTTTCTGTACCACTTTCTGACAACGTATCCTCTCCAGTAGGCTTGGATTCTAAAACACAGATATTTGAAAATGACTAATTTATGATGACTCTGAACCAACTACTATACTTCAGTAGCTGTTATAAGCCCTGTGCTATATAAGGCCCTAGGGAAATTATACTGGCCAAGAAGAGAGATAAAATCCCACTATTTAAAAAACAAGTTAGGCCGGGCACGGTGGCTCAAGCCTGTAATCCCAGCACTTTGGGAGGCCGAGATGGGCGGATCACGAGGTCAGGAG